CCCTCATGGAAGAGGTTCGATGACGTCCCATTTAAGGACCCACTATTCTAAAGTCTTTCTCTTTCAGTACACTCACTGTCCAGGTTTTGTCTCTGAAACTTCCATTGCAAAAGGAAGCTTCTCTGATCCTGGATGAAGGAGGATACTTACGTCTGAATATAACAGAGTATCAGCAGGAGTCATTTTATCGCTATGTTCCTTTAGTAGAAGGGTAGTATTTTGCTTACCCCCTAGATCCAGGACTGATCTCCTGTCAAATCCTTGGCTAGCTGAGTCATATTAGGTATGGATTCTATTTTGTGGAGTGAGCCTTCAATCCAGTCAGAGAGGTTGGTTATTTTTACAATATTTGTACCACTATTGTAGCACTGTATCACACGATAGGTTAACATTGTAGATTACAGTGTGTATAGATGGGTTGGTGTTTACCTTTCTTCTCTCTTAGCGTGCAGAGTACCTTTCAGAACCGTGAACACTGGAAGGTGTAAAGGCTCTAGTTAGGCAGCGACTCGACAGATTAATTACTGAATGTTTAATGAGATATTTAAGGTTTGTATTCAGCAATGAATTCATACCGTAAGTTTATGGACAACAACTTTGCCTTAGAAATAGCTTGAAATATCTGGGAGTTTCCAGGGTCTCCGTGGCTAATGGCTCAGCTAGGAGTAGTCTCTTCTTGGCACTGGATGCTTTCTTTGGTAGTAAGATGTCCAGCTAGGGCATTGTCTCTCCCATTCTTTGGCAACTCTTTCTAAATTTCTTTCACATATGTATATATTTTAAGAAGTTTCTACCAAAATAGCTTTCCATTTGAAGAATCATGTGGAATCCTACATTCTTTAACATTCTCTATTTCTTTCTTATTATCCCTTTCTTCTCTATTCCTATCATAATTACTGATTTTTATATTGATGTTCAAGGTTTAAACTCTGTGACATTTCTTCTAATGACTCTGATATTTTAAAACCTGTAAGTAGTATGTCTAGTTTTACTGTTATATGTATGTTCAAAATACAATACCTACATTTTAAATTGAGTTTTCTATGGAAGGCATTTTTGTCACAATCTCTGTAGTTAAGTTGTATCACAAATATAAGCTGTAGAATCCCAATTTGTATACCTGCAAGCCTCACATGGATTTCAGCTATTTTACGTCCTGTGATTAACATTGTAACTATTGAATTCACTGCAGCAATTGATGCACTACAAGGTTCGAGATTTGATTTTTTAATTTCCTTGACAAATAATAGATATTGCATTTTCATCCCTTATAAGAAACTGTATCTTACTCTATTTTCCTGTCATATTTTTAATTACTGACAAAGGTAAATTCTTTACATGATCCAGAATTAAGATGTGAACGTTGCTGATAATCTCACAGTTGTAATTTTTTAAAATTTAGAATAATTTTTGATTAATAAGAGAATATTGTTTTATAGTATACATCTTTTATGTATGTTGATTACATTTAATTATTTTATACAAAAGTGGGAAAAATCACTTACCTACTTGACAATAGTTGTTCGAGCTCCAAGTACTGGTATTCAGTGATTTCTGATGTTTATGCTTCTGTGCCTAGATTTTCATTTCTGTTTGCTGGCTTACTTCTGATATTGTCTGTAGTACACTGCTATAATTAAGCTTATATATACAAGGTCATTATCCATCCTTTTGTGTTTCTTTTCAGAAGTACCTTGGTTCCTTTTAAAATTTTTTTCTATTTACTTTAAATATATGAATCTTCTAGCTGATTTATATTAGAAATTCTTGCAGTCCTGGCAGGAGCAACAATATATCTATACAGAGACATTTTAAAATCATGGTTTTCTGTATGGAAACAAATATTCTCATATAAATTAATAATCATATAGAGTTAATAATTATACATAAAGAGGAAGAACTATTTAAATTTATTTATGCCTCGGTTTGTTTAGTGTCCTTGAAGGATTTTTTTTTCTTGAAGTAGAATATGGTCTGACCCTGTTGTTGACATAGACATGCTCTGTAGCTTCCTTGGGATTCTATTTTGAAACTATAGCTCATACCAGGTAGTATCATGTCTGCTTTTCACAAACTTGTCCTTGAGGACACAAACAACACGCTCTCCATGAGTTAAGCAATGAAAACTCACTATTCCCTGTTTGTTACAACATTGCTCTTGGCAGAAGTGGGGCAGAAGATCTCAGGGAATTTTAGAAAATGTAAGAACTCCCCAGCAGTAAACTCAGGGAGGCACTGTTTAAAATTCCTTTTGCCAGAATCTGCTTGGGATTTCATTTCAGAGTATCCCTTGCAGCTTCAGCGCGATCACAAATCTCAGGATAATTCACGTATGGGCTCAGCCAGCCCCTGGCACAACAATTGAGAGTTGAGTTTCTGAAAAAAAGAAAAAAAAAAACCTAGTAAAAAAATACCTCTTAGCCAATGAAAATGTTAGATTCTTTACAGCTTTAGAAAAAAAAAAAAAGGAACAGAATACATTTCAAAGTAACAAAACTGTTTTCTAACTTGTTTGGAAATAATGTAAAGTTTTGAAAATATTTATGTGAAAAGTAATATAAAATGTAAATACAAGAGAGAGGAGACAGGTATATGTATGTGGATGTATACACAGCCGATATATGATCACTAAGGGATTATGTCTTTTTCAATGAATAGAAATATGAATTGCAAGGCCACAGTGTCTTTTTTATTTCTTTTTAAAAAATATTTATGTTCTGACATTTTCTCCTGTGTGCATGCTTATTCCAACTGAACATGTGCACACCATGAAACCAGATGTTGACATCTGGTGACTTCCTTAGCTACTCTTTACGTGTTACACTGAGGTAATATATACCAGTTGAATGTAGAGCTCTGTGAGACAGAGCTAGGCTAGCTGACCCATTAAACCAGGAATCCCTTTGTCTGCTTACTGGATCGGGAAGAAGTGTGTCACGCTTGCCTGGTTTTTATGTATATGGTGGAGATTCACTTGTCTACTTGTCGGGTTTTTATGTATATGGTGGAGATTCACTTGTCTGGTTTTTATGTATATGGTGGAGATTCACATTTTGCTCCTTACACTTATGATATAAGTATCCTAGTCACTTAGCCTTCTCCACATACCTTCCACTATATATTTTCTGTAAAGTCAGATTAACTTTCTAAATACACACACACTCACACAAGTATCGCCTATCTATCATCTGTAATATATATATTCTATCAAATATCTATCATCTATTTATATCTGTATACACATAGATAAATGTAGAAACCATATATATATGTATATATGTATATATATGTATATATGTATATATGTATATATGTATATATATATATGCTCAATTAAATCCAAGTTTTTATTAAAATAATAAAATGATTTTAACACTATGATAACTCAGCAAACAAACAGTATTTTCCTCTTGCAATATCAGCTTGTAATATCTATTAAAATCTAAACCCAGTGTGGGTAGGTTAGTCCCTTTTAATTTAAAAATGTTGAGCTGAAAATAATACAACACAATAGGCATTATCATTTATTTAAAATGGGCAAAAATATGATTGTTTCCAAAGAAGATCCCCATGATTTAAATAGGACCTAAAAAAAAATCTATTTTATGAATTAAGAGTATTTTCAGACCAAAATCTCAATATTTGTTTTCTTTTCAAATACATTGAATTATTTATCTTAATTTTATATATCTTATTATATATATACATATATACATGTGCATCATTTCTATGCATGGCTGGTGCCTTTTGTGGTCAGGAGAGGGCATCAGATGCCCTGATGCTGGAATATGCATGGTGATGAGTCACCATTTGGATGCCACAAACTGAGGCCTGGTCACCTGTGTGAAACAAGTGCTCTGAAGCACTGAGCTTCCCTACAGCCCATATTATTTTAATAAAAATATAAATAAGATATGTGTAAATATATAAAAAATATAAATAAGATACATGATTTATTATCGTGCTTATTTCTAGTGTAACTTTACATGATCTCAAGTAGTTCACTAATGAGCTCAGAGCGTTACCTTATTCATAATTAAAAATTGATGCAAAGCTTTTGACTACCCTGAGGTTGGTGATTCAACTTCGACTTTGTACAATGTTTCTTTCCAATTCTCTTCCCTTTTCCCTCCTTGACATGATCTGGCTATGTATGTAGCTCAGGCTGTCCTCAAACTCCAAATCCTTCTAATCCTGACTCCCAAGGGCTGGGATTAGAGACATGAGCTAACATAATTGACTACTTGCAGGACTGAATTGGTCTACAGTCTGTTTATTCCCTAGAAGTGAAATCTCAATTTAAAACTCGTCAGGGAAATGACTCTATGTAGTATGTGAAATATTTTAAGTCAAGTTCACCAAACTATTTAGTAGTTGTTATTTCAGTTACTATGTGTACCATCTCATCCCATAAAGCTGAGAACGAGTGAAAATAATTAAAGCAGAAAAGGGATAAAACTAATTTGTTTATCTAATTGCACAGTAGCTAAAGTCATTAAAAGATATAACTCAGTTCTATTCCAAGGTAAATAAAATTAGTCCAAGAAATTTGGAAATTATTCATCACCTTATGATACTTTTGTGAAAGTATGATTCAAGCCATATTAAGGGAAAAAGGCAAGTGCTGTCTTATATTTATTTTCTATGTATAATTTTAAATCTAATCTTTAGTCTCCAATGTGTATTAGTAAAATAGCACACACACACACACACAGACACACACACATATACATATACATATATATAAAATTTTCATGTATATATGATTCTGGACATTAAATCATAGTTAAGTAAGTTTATACATAAGTCATTCTATAGTTATTGAAAGGAAGAATTTATTAGTAGTGTTATACATTATGGTTTTAAGTTTTTTCATTTTTTCATTAATTACCTGAGAAGAAACGACTATCCTTTATCCTATCATGGCATAAGTGATGGTGGAAACTTAATAATATGAAGGCAGGTTTCATTTGAAGATGTGTTTGAAAGTCAGAGTCATCAGGCTCTATTTCCTGGGAGGTGGGCTCAGCCTACCACACTTCCCCTCAGCTGAACCCAGACTAAAGGGACCAGGCCTCCCCCTCTATGGGAGAGGTATTTGAAGAAGGAGCCTCACTCAGGCTGGCCTGGCTCACATTAAAAAAAAAAAAGAAAGAAAAGAAAATCAGACCTGTTAAATAAGCCTAAGTTCCAATGTGATGTGTGTGTGTGCATGCATAAACACTTGTTTTTTGCTAAATACTGACATTGAAAATACTCTAATTAATGATGACTTTATTTAGATACCGAAAGCTTGTTTATCTCCATAGAATTAGCATGAAAATTGAATGAATTTGATTGTATTGCATGGTGTAAAAATGTAACAGATTTGACTATTAATACATGAGTAAATGGTTAAGAAACAGCATACCGGGTCAGGTGAAGTGGCTTAGAGGCAGAGTGCTAGCTGGTTTTGAGTAGATGTCAGGGAGCCCTCAACTGCCTGTAGCTGACAGCCCCAGTGGATCTGATGGGTTTATGTATAGGTGTCTTCTTGAGATAGTGTTCACCAATTGTAGGTAAGTATACTCAAAATGCAGTGTACAAAATTCTAAAATAATTAATAATGATGCCATTTTAAGAGAAAAGACATTGTTTTAAAAAGGAGGAGTTGAATGGTGGGGGCAATAGGGATACGGAAGGTGAAATTATCAAAGTGCATTATATTCATGTAGAAAACTGTGAATAAAACTAAAGAGAAATCAAAAAGTGAATTGATAAAAATACATTGAAATATAGATGTCAATTGTTGGCAAACGTATAAAAATAGAAATAAATAGAAGTATAAAGGAAAGATGAAAAGGTACCTTCTAAGACTGAAGAGATTCAAATATAGTAAATCATTTTATAAAATATATGAAGTAAATGACATTGAATTTCAATAGGACATTGTATTTTATGATACAAATGGTAAGTCAAATAATTGTCAAACTTTGTTTCTACTGCACGGTTTTAATGTTTAAGATATATGTGAACTTAAAGGCACATATGAGAAAGATTAAAATTGAAGGTAGCATCGGGGAAGACTCTCTGTACTTCAACATCATATTAAGCTATATGGATTGAATGACAGATATACTAAGATCTCTGAATTCAGCATTAGAAAGTAATGTCTTCTCTAGTATATACAGAGCATTCTCTGGAATAGATAACATGATTAAGCACAAAACAAATATTATAATGTGAAATTACTGAAAGAATTTGAAGTATTTACTGGCCAGCATGGAACAATATTGGACTAATAACAGTAAGAAAATTCATAAAAATTTGGAAGAAAAATATGTTTTTAAGGTAACCAACTGGTCAAAATTACTAGGAAAAATTAATAAGAATCAAGTATGTCTGTAAAATTATAACAGCAAACAAAACATGCAGCAAGCAAAACATGGCGAAGAAGATGACCAGGACTAAGAAAGAAGCTCAAGCAATGGGTTCAACATCGAAAAAAAAATTCAAATTTAAAAAAAAAGAGGACAATATATCATAATACTTACCTGCGATGTAATATCATCATCATCAACAACAACAAAACACACCTGGAAAGACAAAATAAGCTGTGAGGTATCCATCAATCTTAACTCTAAGCAGCTTATGATATGTGTCTATTTTGAGTTAGAACCGGGATGTGGGGCTTCAGGCTTGAAACCTAGCACAGGGCTATCATATTAGAATAAAACATACAACAGCCACTACTCCTGGCCATCACTCACAGACTCAGTCTCTAGAAATGGTGAACCAGAAGGTGACCATCTACTCTCATAGAACTTTGGCTTGGAGCCCATTGTTAAAGAATACAATGATGAGACCCAGGGACAGGCAGAATAGGAATACTGTATCTACGCACTAGAGCTTGCAAGTGGAGAGTCTAAACTAGCTCTGGCATTAGGTCATAACTCAATTTCAAGTGGGGCAGTCTCCAGTTATGTCTAAAATCAATGTCAACCTTGAAGTGAATTAGATAGGACCATCTCTTTCAAACTGTGGTTTTCTACAGCTAGTGTGTAAAATGGAACACAACTTAGCAGTATCCCGATGGTCTAGAGACTTTATTTGTCACCCACCCATCAAACTAAGGCCATGCAGCAAATGTGCAGAACAAGAAAAAAATACTACATCCTTTATGACATATATCTCTAAGCTTGCATTATTGCCAGTTGCAATATGGTCCTAAGTGAGCCTCTGATGTGCAGGTCTTTGTGTCATATTCATGGGGAGGGCTGAAGGTTGAGAAGGCCAAGAGGGTAGAGAGCTTGTCCTCACAGAGAGCAACAGAAAACAGGATGTGCCTTCAAGATGTATGCAGATACACAGGTATCAAAATCCACTCGTTGAATTTAAATGGAAAAAATAATCTGTGCACCAACATGAATTTCTAACTGACAAAAGTTGGGAATTTAGCTAGAGGGGTGGCTCTGTGGTTAAGAACACTAGGTGCTTTTCCAGGAGTCCAAGTCTCAATTCCCAGAATGCCCATGGAGGCTAACAGTCCTCTATTACTGTAGTCCCATGATGCCCACTTCTGGTATGAAGACATATGAGCAGAGAAAACATTCATATGTATTCTATCTATCTATCTATCTATCTATCTATCTATCTATCTATCTATCTATCTGTCTATCTAAAATACCAAAAGTAATTGACATCACAGGGGCTTTTATGAATGATACTCACTAATAAATTGATTATTCTAGAAGAAATGGAGAATTTCTAGTAAAATATTACATGCTATGGCTCATGAGGAAGAAACTGAAAATCTGAACAGAATATTTAAAAAGAATGATTTCCTTTTAAAATCTCTCCACAAGAAAGTTCAAAGCCACTAAGGATGTTCTGTGAGTGAATTTTACCAAACAGAGAAATTTAAGTTAGTATCTTCAAAAAATAAATTACAAATTGTGCATTCCAAAATTAATACAAAAATTAATTTTAAAAGAATATGACACATGATACCTCAGATACATTATGACATATCAGGGAAATTTCCATAGATATGGAAGTCACTAATAAACTAAGCATAATAGAATTTTAAGAACACTGTCCAGGATTGAGGAGAAATCTGAGTGCTTGAGAATTCTCTAAGAAAACAAAACAAGAATTTTATGACTTCAGTTTCTTCACAGCACAGAATTATTCTTGGAGTGCATTTTGTTTTTCTTCCTTGTGTAGTGGAGAGGAGTGAGTTTAATCAGGTTACTCATTACTGCTTGCTGCTGTTATCCAATTAAATGTCTAACATAGCTTTCATGTCCCTCTATGGAAAGACATGTTTTTGCCATGGCAGCTTGCCCTTGTGATTTTTATAGAGATTGAAACACATGCGAACTTCATCTATGTAAGCTTTCTTAACCTTCGGAGTATAAATGGTTTGGGGGCTCCAGCTAAAGTTGTCGGTTTCGTGAGACTTCAGTCAGTCTCATTTACTGGCTCAATTCCCCCAGGTCCCTCTGATCTTAGAGTGGCAACATTAGACCTTAGAAAATATACCCAAAGCCACTGAATATAATACTGACTCAATATACACCAATCATTCCATATTTACTCCACAATAAAGGAACTCAGGGTCAAAATATGTGTAATCATATATTATTATTATTATTAATTATTATTATTATTAATTTATAATATTTTTTACAATCTAGTCATAACTCCCTTCCTGGTCCGCCTTCTGGCTGTTCCTCACCCAATGCCTCCTCCTGTGTCTTCAAGAGGATGTCCCCACACCCTATTTCCATCCCACCAGACCTCCACATTTCCTGAAACCTCAAGTCTCTCGAGGGTTAGGTGCATCTTCGCTTACTGAGAGACCAGACCAGGCAGTCCTCTGCTGTATATGTGTTGGGGGCCTCAGTAGCTGGTGTAGGCTGCCTGGTTGGTGGCTCAGTGTCTGAGAGATCTCTGGGGTACAGGTCAGTAGAGACTGGTATGGGATTGCCCTCCCCCTCAGCTTCTTCCAGCTTTTCTCTAATTCAACCTCAGTGGTCCCCGGATTCTGTCTATTCGTTGGGTGTAAGTATCTGCATCTGACTCATTCAGTTGCTTGTTGGGCCTCTCAGAGACCAGCCATGCTAGCTAGGCTCCTGTCTGTAAGCACACCACAGCATCAGTAATAGTGTCAGGCCTTGGAGCCTCCCCTTGAGCTGGATCCTAATTTGGGTCTGTCACTGGACCTTCTTTCCCTCAGTCTCTTCTCCAGTTTTGTCCCTGCAATTCTTTTAAACAGGAACAATTCTAGGTCAAAGTTTATGACTGTGGGATGTCAACCCCATTCCTCCACTTGATGCTGTTTGTTTAATGGAGGTGGACTCTACATGTTCCCTCTCCCCACTGTTGGGAATTTCATCTAAGATCTGTCCCTTTGAGTCCTGAGAGTCTCTCACCTCCCAGGTCTCTAGTACATTCTAGAGGGTCCCCCCACCTGCTACTTCAAGAAATTGCCTGTTTCCTTTCTACCTGCTGAACCTAAGGGCTTCAGTCCTGTTTCATGTCTCCTTTTGGCCTCCCTGTTCACTCTCCCACTCAGATCCCTCCCTACCTCTCCACTCCCACCCCTCCCCCATATGATTGCTTTCTTTTCCCTCCCAAGTGAGATTGGGGAATCCTCATTTGGGCCCTGTGGCTTGTTAATATTCTTGAGTTCTGTGGATTGTATTCTGGATATTCTGTACTTTTTGGCTAATATCCACTTATTAGTGAGTATATACCATGCATGTTTTTTTGGATCTGAAAAACTTCACTCAGAATGACATTTTCCAGTTTCATCTATTTGCCTGCAAAATTCATGGTATCCTCATTCTTAATAGCTTAATAGTATTCAATTGTGAAAATAAACCACATTTTCCACATCCATTCTTCCATTGTGGGACATCTGGGTGGTTCTCACCTTCTTTCTATCACAAATAAGGCCACTATGAATACAGTGGAACATGTGATCCTGTGGCATGGTGGGGCTTCTTTTGGGTATATGTCCAAGAGTGATATATCTGGGTCTTTTTCTGAGTAACTTCCAGATTGATTTCCAGAGTGGTTGTATCAGTTTGCAGTCCTACCAGCAGTACAGAAGTGTTCCTCTTTCTCCACATTCTCACTAACATGTGCTATTA